CGGTGTTTGGTCCTTGGACAGAGTTGAACTTTTTTTTCTTAATACAAGCATTTATAGGATAAATTTTGCTAACATCTTCTTTTGCTGCATCCCGCAGATTTGGGGATATTGTGTTTTCTTCTTTTGTTTTGAGACATATTTTGAGTTGCTGATTGATTTCTTATTTGGCCTATTGTGCAGTGGTGTGTTGTTTACTCTTTACATATTAATTATTTAACAATTACATTATAGATTTTCCAGCTTTGTTTGATTATTGATGTTTAGTTTTGTACTGCTGTGGTTCGAGTATATACTTGGTATGATTTCATTCTTTTAAAATTTGTAATATTTATTATGTCTCTTTTTATGTGATTTACTTGGGATTCTTCTGTATGTACTTGAAGAAAATGTGTATTTTATTTTCCTTATATGTAATGTTTTATATATACTTTTTAAAACCATGTATTCTTAAGTATGCTTCAAGTAAAAAATGTTGAAAAAATAAATTTAACTGATGTTACTCATTTAAATAAACCATATCAGAGGTGAGGTAGGTGTGGGGATGGGTGAAATAGGTGAAGGTGATTAAGAATATACTAATCATGATGAGCACTGATTACTGCTGTATAGAACTGTTGAATCACTATATTGTACACCTGAAACTAATATAACACTGTATTGTTAATTATAACGGAATGAAAATTAAAAAAACAACTTAAAAAAAGAAATATGCTTGACAAAAATATATAAAATAAAATAAAATAAAATAAAATCTATTGTACTAGAAGTTCTAGAAGCATTTCAATGTAATGTTGTAAGTATAAAATTGTTTTCCTTACTACATGGCAATGAGGAAGAATGAAATCTGGCCATGGGTAGCAACATGGATGGACCTTGAGGGTGTCATGCTGAGCGAAATAAGTCAGGCAGAGAAGGACAAATATCATATGTTTGCATGTATAAGGGGATCAGGAGGAACTTAATGGAGGACCATGGGGGAGAAGAAGGGGAGAAATGGTGGGGGAAAGGGAGAGAGGCAAACCATGAGAGACTCCTGAATGTGAGAACAAACTGAGGACTGATGGATGTGGGGGGTTAGGGAGAGATGGGCATGGAGGGGGGCACTTGTGGGGATGAGCACTGGGTGTTATATGGAAACCAACTTGACAATAAACTATTTGTAAAAAAATAAAAATAAATAAATAAAAATAAATAAAAACAAAAACAAAAAAATAATTAAATTCTGACCCATGTTAGGTAGTTATAGTTACAAATTGGTCTCTTTGTTCTTGGAGATGAAAAGCGACATTTTGCTCAAAAAGCTGGTTTCATGTCACTGGTTAGAAAAAAAGCAGCAGCTCCAGTTTCAAAGCTTGTCTTTAAAAGCCTAATAAATACATACATATTTTGTGGTTATTAAAATGAGTTCTTTCCAGAAAAAAAATTGTTTTCCAATATAGATTATGTAAAGGTTAGTAAGTTCATGGGAAACCAGTGTGGCTCAGTTGGTTGAACATCCAACTTGGGCTCAGGTCATCATCTCACGGTTTGTGAGTTTGAGCCCTGCATCACGGACTCTGTGCTGACAGTTCAGAGCCTGGAGCCTGCTTCAGATTCTGTGACTCTCTCTCTCTCTGCCCCTCCCTTGCTCACATTCTGTCTCTCTCTCTCAAAAATAAGTAAATATTTAAAAAATTAAAAATAAAAAAGGTTAATAAGTTCAGTATACTTGATTTTCATATTCTATAAAATAAGTGAGTGAACAATTATACCTTTGCTTTTTTATTAAAGGTTTATAGACCTGTTTATCTTCCACTCTATTCACTTAAGCCAAGCTAATAAAGCCTTTCTTTCTCTAAAAAGTCTTCCCTAAAATGTAGTAGCCTAAAAAGAGTACTGTACTAAAATTCAATTCCAGCTCTGCCACTTTTTTTGTGTGACCATGGGCAAGATAAATTCTATACACCCGGGTTTATCTAACTACAAAACGAGAAACTAGGTCCCTTCTAGCTCTAGAAATCTTTGACTTGTAAATACATAAAAAAATCTTCTTTAAGAGAAACTTCAAGCCAAAATGAAAAAGAAATATGTATGTAAATCCTGGTCCTTTATTTCAAATTTAGTCATTCACAATTAGGCAATATTAATGGACAGAAAAGTCTTACTGTGCAAAGTAACAATGCAGGGTATATATGAAGAAAAATTAAACAGTTTATGAAAATGTATTTGATTAAGCATTTATTGCACTAAGTATGCTAGGAAATGTAAAAAATGAGTATGACATTTAAATGCAATCTGAAAGGAAAGAATAAAAATGTATACAAATACATGCCAAAGGTGTACATGTTTAATGCTCTATTAAGGTACATACAACATAATGGGAGCATAACTGAGTAAAGGTATAAGTTGTTCTTTTTACAGGAAGCAAGGGAAAAGGTCATTAATAATTGTCTCATAAGAACTTCTACTGGTCAATTCTTTCTTGGCCAAGGGTATATGCAGTTGAAATAAATAACACGTTATTTACTTAAAATATTCTAAAATTTAGATAGACTAGCTTTCTAATGAATCAGATATTATTATGTTTATATAAAGTGACACCATGACATTTTCATTACTCTCCTGCCTCTTTTGCTCTGTTTACCAGATACTTCTTGTCTTCCCTGTTTTACGAAAGGGAAGCAGTCATGCCAGTGTTCTCATAGCCTGTGGTTTGGAGGTGAGAAGTTAGCTGAATGTATTGTAGCAATAAAACACACAAAAATAATGTGATTTACACTATAACCACTCACCCCTACCACCATTTAACTGAATGAACAAAGTTTATGAACTCTACATGGACAGGAGGCAAACAAAATCATCATCTTAAAAGGGAAAAGTAGCTTGTAAGGAACTGCAATTAAGTAAAGTAGCTGTAAAGAAGTGATAGAAAATGCCACAATTCTCCTAACGAAGGGGCACTAGTTTAAGGACTTATGGGCAACTGAATGACAGTTTGCCTTCATTATTAATTTAAAGCAAAAAAAAAAAATCAAACTATTAGCATGTGCAGAAGTTTTTTAGAAGGTTCATATAGTTTCTTTGCTCAACATTTACCATCATTTTCAGAATGTTTCAAAGATAGAACTAAAGTAACTTGATCCATAAAAAGGGAATACGTGAAAGACCATGTGAAATATTTCAATAGCCACCAATATCTTTTCCTATGTTAATTACTCCAGAATACCACACTAAAAGAGGAGGTGAAAACAAAACAAAACTTTAATATATATCATTTCTTAAGTATTAGATAAGACTCAAACATATAATACATGGAACATGGAAAACTGAACTCTAAGCATAATTGTCATATAAATCTGTATTTCAGCATTACATACACAGTTGCCAGTTATTTCTTAAAAGAAATGAAGGCGTATCATATGTATAGCTTTAAACATTGGAATTGTTCCTTGGGAAAAATGCATTTTTTGACACACAAGCTGGCCGACTAAAAAATACATATATTTAATTAATAATACTAGTAGTTTCAATCAATTTTCATGTAGAAACATAACAAATAAAAAAACTCCATAAATTGCAATGAAATGGGATTTTGGAGTGGGAAGGAATTTTGGAGAATCTAGTCCCTAAACTTTACAAACGAGAAAACAGGCAGTTCATTAGTAGATTGAAAACTAGTACTCAGTTCTCCTCACTTCTAATCAGGTGTTTTTTCTACTACACAACACAGTATACTGATGTTATGGCTAAGATCCAAACTTAAACCCTTCCCTGGTTTTATAATGTTTAAAAGGTCATTACAATCAAATCTCTGATTTATTTACTCTATAATAATTAGGATATGAGATTTATTCCATAATATACTGTACAAATTAGCTAATGTTCTTAAGACAATTAGGTTTTACCATTAGCAGATATTAAATATAAGTAATTCCTTTGGTATTAAATTGTTTTCTACTTCATATTGCAGCTTAAAAGCTTCAGGGCCTTATAAGCCACATGCTGAAAACCTTTGAATTTTTGTTTTAAAACTCAAAATTTTTAAAGTAAAAATGTTAAGAATTCATGTCAAGGTTTGATCAATTTTTTTTCCTAAATTAAATAAGGCTAATTACACTGAAACTGTACTGTCTACTATGGCAGCCACTAGCCACATGTGGCTGTTAAGCCTTTAAAATGTAGGTAGTCCAACTTGCGACTCTCCCATAATGTACGAACTTGTTGAATCACTATGCTCTATACCTGAAACTAGTGTAATACTGTGTGTCAACTATACTAAAAGAAAAAAAAATGAAAAAGAAAGAAAAAAGTAAAAAGAAATGTAGGTAGTCCATAAAATACACAACTAGATTTTGAAGTTTTAGTATAAGAAAAGAACATAAAATATATTACTAATTTTTGTATTGATTAGATGAAAGAATGATATATTTTGGATATACCAGGTTAAATAAAATATATTATTAAAAAATTAAGTTCACCAGTTTCTTTTTCTTTCTCAAAGTGACTACTAGAAATTTTTAAATTACATATGTGGCTTGCATTATATTTCTATTGGATAGCTCTGCATCATCAATAATAAATAACTAGGTGTTACTGAAAAAAAGCCCATAAATTATCAAGGAATAATTTAACATTATAAAAACTGCTTGCATTATCACCAGTCAATGTCTGTGCTAAAGAAGAAATGATGTGTAAAAATATACCAAATGCAGGAGTCAGCTCTAGTTGGCTTTAAATATGTATTTTCCCTCAGTAGATTTACATTTTTAGTTTGGTTAATAATGAAAATAGTTTATATTATTTAAACACATATGAACTGATATTAGAGTAATATGGCCCAGAAGTAAGGTAGAAAAAAAGTCACTTATCATCCTGTTTAATCCACATATACATGTGACTTGATTTAAAAACAAATACTGACATATAATACCATCAGATACTCTGAAAATATACAGTAGGCTACAACTTAAAGATATCTGCAATTTAACATGAATGCAACAAAATATATTTGTAATTTATACCTTTGCTCCATCTGAAATATTGTCCCAGTTTCCACCACTCAAAGAGAACTTGCCATTGCCTATACGTAGCAGTATCTCTTCAGGAGTATCATTGGGGCCATTAGCAAATGGAGTGTAGCTATTAATAAAATAGATTTGAATAGACATGAAGGCCTAACATGCAAATTAAATGTAATTGAAAAGGATTAGTATAATACAACATGCAAATATTTACTATAGGAAATTAAGAGTATTATCTAATATTTCCCTTTACCATTCATATCAAATTTTACATTTCAAACAATGAACTTAATCTTAATGGATTATTTAATCAAATAGAATCTGCTGACATAAATATTTTTCCATTTATCATTTAATCAAATTAAAATAAAGATGGATTTTTGTGTGAAGCTATAGGCTTAAAATTAGACCAGAATAAAACATGCAAAGTTTGTATTCTCAGGCATAAATTAGCAAAACAAATATACCTACTATGAAGAAATTGTTAACTTTATATATTTAGAATGTATTTAGTGATTGGTTCAAACTTATTCACTTGCATTTTAACAGTATTATCCATTGAAACAGGTTAACAACATTTTCAATGAATGTCTATAAACAATGCATTAAATATTTATGTCAATAAACAAAAACCTCTATAGTCAATAAAATTATTATGTGGATCAGTATTCATGGACAGGAAGACAAACACATTGTATAATGTTAAAGCAGTTTAAAAATTAATATAGACTAAGAAAAGTGATCACTTTGTATCCTTCTAACAGGTGGAACTGAAAATGGTATTCAAATTTGGGAATAAAAAGACTTATAGTTAAGAAGTATGAGGAAGATATCTTAACATGTTAGTCTTAATTCTCTCATGTAACAGTTAGATAGAGATAACACTAAACATATATACATATACTCACAAAAAATCATTTTCTGTTAGTCATAAAGTAAATATTTTAAGGCAGCAATCTAGAAATGATACTCATTGGTTTGAAACCAATAGCCTAATTGCAGTTCATATGGAAACTTTTAATTACTCTTTAGCTTTAGTACTTGCTGTGGTCTATAACTAAATGTTTTGCATAATTATGTAATATACCTAAAAGTATGTGGAATACACTGATAAGTAATTACCACCAAACCAATATATAATGCAGAGTAACCATATTCATAACTTATGTTTATAAAGCTCCTGTTATGTCAAGCATATTTATATTTTACTAAATGCCCTCTTTAAAGAGTCACACCTAAGTACATTATATAATTACATTATAGTTATCCAAATTCCATTCTATTCAATGGACTGCTAAATATAGCCTTTTTCTATAGCCATAAACTTTTATTTCTAAATAAAAGTGCTACTCGTTATTAAGAGTACAATAGCACTTATAATATTTGTAAATTACCAACATTAAAGTATCCAATTATTAACTTTATTTAGTATTTATCTGTTTAAGGGAAGGCAGCTATGTGTGTTTCTGTAGTTTAGTATTCTGTTACTATTCATATTTTTTATAAAGTATGATCTTACTTAATCTCCATCACCAGAAGAGCCAGAATTCAAGTACTTTCAAAAAATTATATCAAAACACTCAGTGGGCAAGTACCCACCGAAAAAAAGGAATTATTATGTAATGTATGTAAATTAAGTAAAATGTAAACATTAAAAAAATAATGTACTGAATGTATAATATCAAAATAAAAATATATGTTTTAATTAAAAGTTTTAGTTCTAGTTGAAAATTCTCTTAATGATATATCTGAAGAGTACCTCACTAAATACTTCATTTTTTTACCTTTTATAAATAAACAATATATATTATTTTAAAATGTTGGTACCATTTTATTTAAGGCTATCTTCATCTCTTCATTTCTTTCCAGATAAAAATATACAGATGAAATTCAAATTATGATGTGTATTATTTTGAAAATATAAGTTTCTTACCCAGCCAGCATTGTGTAAAAAAGGACACCCAGGCTCCAAATATCACAAGCAGCATCATAGCCCTGTTGCATAAGAACCTGAGAAAGAAATACATATTATCTGATATTACTCAGTATAAACTCAGTTTCCTCATCCAAAAGGCAGTTGTACTTCCAATAATCTCACAAATGTTCACAATTTAAAAACTTATGTCATGTAAATGTTCTTAAAAATAGATTCATTTAATGTTAAAGGCAAAGTATTTTGCAATTAGCAAGCATTGAATAAATGGCTATTAATAAGGTGATTAAGTAACACGGGTCATAAAAGAAACAACTTTGCATATATGACCCTTGATCCCAATGAACTTTCACTCCTACTCTTATAAAAACCGGACATAGACATCAAAATTTAAGACTAATATGTATAAAGAGCCTAAATATGTACTATACACAGTGCTATCTTTTCATCCTGACACTGACTCTATGAGGTCGATATTATTATTTCAATTTTGAAGATGAAGAAACTAAGGCAAATGTCATGTAATTTGCCCAATATCACAAAACTAGTAAGTAGTGGAGTAGGTAATCTTATTCTAGAGCTTGTGCTTTTAATATCTATGATAATTGTCTCCTTACCATGCAAAAGATGGTAAGATGATACATGCTTTTATGGACGCAAAATGAATTTATATTTTACATCCAAGGCTTATGTATTGGAAAGAGCGGTATATTTATGGATATATTTATGGATCACAAAAACACACTGGATTCTGAATGTTTTCATTAATTTTTTATCCAATAATTTAGGTAGATGATTTTTATTCTTGAGATTAGTGTTAATAATATCAAATAATATATTATACATTCATGTGAGTTTTCTCTATGAAGTTAGTATAGTTTGTTTAAAAATAAAAGGATGACATAGATTGGAAGACAAATATTGTTTAAATGTCTATACTAACCCAAGCAATCTACACATTCAAAGAAATCCCTATCACAATATCACAAGCACTTTTCACAGAACAAATAATCTTAAAATTTGTATGGAATCACAAAAGACCTTAAATAGCCAAAGAAACCTTGAAAAAGAAAAGCAAAGCTGGAGGCACCAAAATTCTGGATTTCAAGTCATATTACAAAGCTGTAGTCATGAAGACAGTATGGTACTGGGGGGAAAAAAAGACATAGATCATTAGGACAGAATAGAAAGCCCAGAAATAAACCCACAAGTCCATGGCCAATTTATCATCATCAAAGCAGGAAAGAATATCCAATGAGAAAAAAGTGTCTTTAACAAATGGTTTTGGGAAAATTGAAAAGCAACATACAAAATAATAAAACTGGACCACTTTCTTATACCATACACAAAAATAAATGCAAAATGGATTAAAGAGCATAAAATGGATTAAAGACCTAAATGAGACAGGAAACCATCAAAATCCTAGAAGAGAATTGAGGCAGTAACCTCTTTGACATTGGCCTTAGCAACTTCTTTCTAGATATGTCTCCTGATGCAAGGGAAACAAAATCAGAAATAAACTATTGGGACTACATCAAAATAAAAATCTTCTGCATAGTGAAGGAAAAAAATAAAGACAACCTTCTGATGGGAGAAGATATTTGGAAATGACATATCTGATAAAAAGTTAATATCTAAACTGTATAAAGAACTTATAAAACTTAACACCCAAAAAACAGAAATAATAATCTAGTTAAGATATGGGTAGAAGACATGAATAGACATTTTGCCAAAGAAGACATCCAGATCACTAACAGACACGTGAAAAGATGTTCACTATCACTTACCATGAGGGTAATACAAATCAAACTACAACGAAACATTACCTGACACCAGTCTTAATGGCTAAAATTAACAACACAGGAAACAGCAGGTTTTGGTGAGGATGCAGAGAAAAGGGAACCCTATTACATTGTTGGTGGGATGCAAACTAGTGCAGCAACTGTGGAAAACAGTATGGAGGTTTCCCCAAAAGATAAAATTAGAACTATCTTATGATCCATCAATGGCACTATTAGGTATTTATCCAAAGAATACAAATATACCTAATTCAAAGGGATACATGTACCCCAATGTTTATAGCAGCAATATCTCCAATAGCCAAATTATGGAAACAGCCCAAATGCCCACTGAATGATGGATAGATTAAAAAAGTTGTATATATACAAATTAATGATTACTAGAGGGGTGGTAGGTGGGGGACTGGGTAAAATAGGTGATGGGTATTAAGTGTGAGGATCACTTGTGAAGAGCACTGGGTGATGTATGGAAGTGTTGAATCACGATATTGTACACCTGAAACTAATATTGCACTTTATGTTAACTAACCAGAAATTTAAATAAAAACTTACAAACATAAAAAAAAACTCACTGCTAATACTTTTAGGCATAAAAACAAAGTAAAAATACTATTAATGCCTTAACACTGGGGAGTGCATAACCAGCAGCACGGACATTTCATTTACAAAAGGCTAAAGATATTAATGTTTGGCTTTGACAATTGTCATATGACTAATGAGTATCTAACTGACTTAAAATTCAAGATATAATTTTTTCCTAGTTGAAATGTACAAGCATATGTGCAAACTTGAGAAGCTAAAGAGTTTATCAAAATACCTATATAATTGGCTTATGTACATAACACAAGTAGGGACCCAAAGGCTCTAATAAATAATGAGGTATAGCTAAACCACTCACATCACACAACTTCCCTCCAATTTACTGTATGTTCCTTTAACTCAGGATCACTTTTAGACCTCTGTTGACATTAAATATTAGTAGGAAAATATCATCTGTTTACTTTTATAAAGAATAAAATGTTTTTAGGGACATATTAATTTTTTGCAACATAGTTATAGTAGAAAGTATATCTACTAAGTAAACGTTAAGAGGTTGATCAGATTGATACATATCAAAAAGTTAATGCATATTGTTTTTACTGTCAAGCCAAAATTATACTCATTGGAATATCTTTAAGTAAACACTCTGAACTGTGATTAAATAGTGAATTCATACCCCCATAAATGCTACTATTTATTCAAATATCTGCATGGATACTTGAATCTTTCTGGTTCTAGTTTAAAAGATAATGTATTTTAGGGATGCCTTGGTGGCTCAGTCAGTTAATCGTCCGACTTCGGCTCAGGTCATGATCTCACGGTTCGTGGGTTTGAGCCCCGGGTCGGGCTCTGTGCTGACAGCCAGCTCAGAGCCTAGCTCCTGTTTCCAATTCTGTGTCTCCCTCTCTTTGACCCTCCCTTGCTCACGCTGTCTCTCTCTCCCAGAAATAAATAAAACATTAAAAAAAAGATAATGTATTTTATATACTTTATTGCTAATTTTTAAAAGATTTGAAATTTAGAAACAAATCTTATTTGAAATCTCTGTATTTCATTCATAACAATTTACAAATATTAATTTATTGCTTAGCAGAGGCTTCAGCATTTGATAATAAAACTTATCAAAGTATTTTGAGAGGAGTCTGGTGGCTCAGTTGGTTGAGCATCTGACACTTGATTTCAGCTCAGGTCATTATCCAAGAGTCATGGGATTAAGCCCATCAAGCTCTGTGCTGAGTATTGAGTGTGGAGCCTAAGATTCCCTCTCTTTCTCTCCCTTTGCCCCTCCCACACTCATTAACACACACACACACTCTCTCACTCTCTCAAAAAAAAAAGTATTTTGAAAATACAAATACTACCCAAAGATAGTTCAAGCACTAGTTATGGAGAAATTGTCTTAAAATGCCCACCTGAAAACCTTCAATATTACAATGATGAGAATGTCATAATACATTGGCAGTCTGTTCAGATTAAAAGCATCAATGGGCTATATTCTACTCTGTGGTACTCCACTCATTTAAAAATGTTTACCTCCCAACTAATCTTAAAAAAATATTTAATAATCCTTAATCTAAACACAGACATATTCTGTATTTTTCTTTTCAATGTTTGATTTTGAGATGTTCATTTGGGACATGTTTACCCCTAAACTTTTTCCAGTGAGAAGTTTCCATCATACCAGATCCACAAGATTAAGTCAATATTAAGAATTCAGCCATTAAGGAGTGCCTGGGTGGCTCAGTCGGTTAAGCGTATGACTTAGGCTTAGGTCATGATCACACGGTTCGTGGGTTCGAGCCCCGCGTTGGGCTCTGTGCTGACGGCTAGCTCAGCCTGGAGCCTGCTTCAGATTCTGTGTCTCGCTCTCTCTCTCTGGCCCTCCCTTGCTCACGCTATCTCTCTCTCTCTCAGAAATTAAAAAAAAAAATCAGCCATTAAAATGATAATAACATACTCTTCTATGTGTCTACTGCATAAATGTTAGAATATTTATGATGAATATATATCCTATACTTAACAGAAAAGCCCAACTCTCAAATATTCTATCCTCTTTCCTATATTTAACAGAAAAGACCAAATTGTGAATATTCTATCCTCCTATCCTTGTAAAACCATTAAAATATTCTAGAAAGGCTAATTTTTCAATCTCTGATTTATATCTCTTAAACCTAGGGGCAGTGCAATAACCCCTTCTTGGATCATGTATGTGTTCCAATTTTTATTTTTGGAAATATAGTTTCTATATATTGCAATATGATAAAAATTGTACATCCAATATTCTATGTATTTAATTGAAATATAGATTAAATTACACATCCTGGATATGTACATAATTTTTATATGGCAAACCACTTATCATAAAAATCTTTGTAAAGCAAGTGTTATGCTACTTCTTCAACATCAACATCTTAAAGGAAGACAATATATTTTTATTATGGGAATTTTTCACCATTAGTAAGTTATTTTTCTATTTTCTATATTTCTATTTTTATTATTAGATATATTATTTTCATTCCTGAAACTAATATAACACTGTATGCCAATTTTACATCAATAAAAATATTTTTCTAATAGCTACATTAAAATACAGATTTTTTGATATTCAAATATGAATGCCTGCTATATCTGATGTGAAATATTATTCTGAAAGGGATAGTATTTGATATTAAAAAATCAGAAAACATACACATGAGATGAGATAAGAATTCATCCTCAAATTATTTTACTTTTCTCTGATTTGGAAAATTTGAGTTTTCAAATGAAGATTTTTGTGTGTTTTGAATTAAACTGAATATATGATAATTCATATGGGTTATCATTATTTACAGCATATAAGAACAGTTCCTACTTTATAAAAAAAATTATATGGCCAATTCCATCCCTGATTCATTTTTTTATCAATCAACTTCCAGTGCTATTGGAGTTGCTACTGTCAAAGCTCCTATCCCCAATATCAGAACTGAGTGTTCGAGCTTGATAAAAGTGAAGTACATACCCTTTAACCTCCCAGACTCACCTTTCCTGACTCTTCCCTCTAAAATCTACATATGAATATTATTTGCCAAGATAATCACACTGCTTACAAAAATCCCCATGAAGCTGTTTTCTTCAGGAATTAGATTTTAAAGACAATCAGGTGTCTTTAAATAGACACCTTATATGTTATATATAATGTTAAATATAAATTTCCTCTTCTTCAGCACAAACCAAAATATCTGCACATTTATCCTGGTTTTATTACTATGTGAATGCTGGTCTTGAAAAAGTTATTTAAGTACTTTGTGCCTCAATTACTTCATTTAGAATCTTTAATATTGAAGATGGGGTTATCTCTATTCTTCCTCCCAGCTCTAAAATGTATGATTTTGATGCTAGTACATAACAGAATATAATCACCTGATTATTATATATTCAGGCTAGTTTCAGATTCAAGTTACTAGTCTGAATATTTATATTAAGAGTTATCAGGGGCGCCTGGGTGGCTTAGTCGGTTAAGCGTCCGACTTTCGCTTAGGTCATGATCTCTCTTTTCGTGGGTTCTTGCCCCGCTTCGGGCTCTGTGCTGACTGCCAGCTCAGAGCCTGGAGCCTGTTTCAGTCTGTGACTCCCTCTCTGTCTGACCCTCCCCTGCTCACGCTGTCTCTCTCTCTCTCTCCTAGAAATAAATAAAACATTAAAAAAAAAAAGAGTTATCAGAATTCCTGGGTTTGTAGTTGGGAAAGGATAAGCTAACTCAGTTTTTACCTATCAACTATAACACATACGTAACATTATGTATATTCAACTAAAAGAAAAGAACAAAAGACCAATACTAAAGTTTTAAAGAATACCTCAGGTGCTACAAAATTTGCAGTGTAGCATGGAGTTAAGAGAAGTCCATTTTCTCCTCGAAGTTGTTTTGCAAACCCAAAATCACAGATCCTAATGGAGTTTGCATTGGCTGATTCATCCATATATAAAATATTACTAGGCTTAAGATCACGATGAACAACCTTGAACATAAAATAAAAAATACATTTATATAGCGAACTATATATCTATGAAATAACACATTTTATGTTAACATATTTCCAGGAAAAGGAACTTTCTAAATCATAAAATTTTGAAAATGACACTCTCTCAAATGTTGATAGCCTTGACAGCCTAAAGTATATAGAAGAAATCCTCTCTATCCAGTAGATGTTACAGTTTCTATTCAAGCCACCAGTTTCATTAACCATTTCCAATCTCAAAATATCAAAACTCAATTCTCAGTTCCACTTCTGGAAATAATGGACTAAGACCCCACTCAATGCTCTCCTCCCCACATAAACAACTCTAAAACTTGAACATATTTTAAAAAAATCAACTACTGAAGGTACTGGAGAATGGACAGAAGAATGTTTACTTTCTGATAGAAAGTATACATTTTGTTGAAGGAGGGAAAATAGGGAGCTATAAGTAAGGCTCCCATATTTGTGGCTTTTACCCTAGGGTTAAGTGTAGTTCTTAGGTGATCCAGTGATAGTGAAAACACATGTGGAAAAGCCCAGTCTTTCTAGCCTGGAGGAACAGAAAGGAGATGCTAGAAAACAGTGAATTCTTGGAAGGAATTCTGTATGGAAAAGAGCCAAAGCTGATCCCTAAATCAAAAATGTATAGAAGAGGCTCGATGTAATTCATACAAAGATAAAAGATAACAGATACCAGAGTTGCAGCCCCCAAAGCAAAGAGTTTTTAGTGCAAACCCTGCCAGAAAATTATCTACCAAAAACAAACAAAATAATAATAATAATTGAAGAAAAACATCATTACAAAAAATCTTCACAATATTCAAATGTACAGTATATAATCCAAAATTATCTAATTAACAAAGAACCAAGAAATTGGAACACAGTTTTCTTTTTAATTTTTTTAATGTTTTATTTATTTCTGAGAGAAAAAAAGGCATGAGCAGGAGAGGGCCAGAGAGAGAAGGAGATACAGAATCTGAAACAGGCTCCAGACTCTGAGCTAGCTGTCAGCATAGAGCCCGACACAGGTCTCGAACCCATGACCCATGAGATCATGACCTCATGAGCCAAAGTCGGACGCTTAACCTACTGAGCTACCCAGGCGCCCCGGAACACAGTTTCAAGAAAAGAAAGAATCAATTAGTTCCAAGTCTAAGATAAACCATACTGGATCTAACAGATGATTTTAAAGTGGATATTATTATATGTAACATGATGAAGCTGCTAACTAATGCCAAAGTGTTAATTAAATTGCAGTACATAAATGTATCCAATCAATATGTTGTGCCCCTTAAACTCACATAATGTTATATGTCAATTATATCTCAATAAAATTAATTATTCAAAATTCACAAAATAAATATAAAAAACTGTAAACATAAAGTGGCTATTATAACCATATCAATTAAGTAAAACAAACAACATGCTTTTAATGACTGAAACTCTCAGAAGAAAAACAGAAACAATGAGAACAAAATGAAATGCTAGAAATGGAAATATTCTAAAATTCCCTATGTGATGATTTTCCAACTAATATTATATACTTCATTTATTTTAGTTCTATATTTAATCAGCATTTTATTACACTAAAAGTTATTTAAAGATAAGGACCAAGGACACACATGCATATTCCCTTTCTTTTTATCTTTTCTATGGGATCAGGCTTCTGCCACCCCCTTTTTTTTCCCCAGGGTTACTTCAACAAACAAATCAAAGCACGCCTAGGTAAAAGCCCAACACTCCGCCACTGCAAGGCAGGAGGAGATCTGCAGAGGACTGACTAGTGGGAAACAGCAGCCAAAATGAAACAGCAGAGTTCAAACAGCATACACCAGAAAGACCTGCTGAAGTGCCAGGCTCTGGACAGTGTATGGCCCCTTTTTAATATAGTAGTACTTTCAGGTGCAGGAAATATAATAAGCTTTTAAAACACACAAAATACAAAAACAGCCAAAATTAGAAGACAGAAACATTCTGTCCAAAAGAAAGGTCAAGAAAAATACACAGCCAGGACTTGCTCAAAACACACATAAACAGTATATGTGAAGAATTTAGAACAGTCTTAAGACTACTAGCTGAGCTTGGAGATCAGAGACTTAAGAACTTCAGCTATAGGTGAGATGCTAGAGAAACTAGACACAGTGACAGTGAGAATGGAAGAAACAGAGGAGAGAATAGGTGAAATAGAAGATAAAATTCTGGAAAATAATGAAGGTGAAAAGAAGAGGGAAAGGAAATTACTAGATCATGAAGGAAGAATTACAGAACTAAGTGATTCCATGAAATGAAACAATACCAGTAACATAGGAGACTCAGAAGCAGAAGAGCGAGACACAGGGGCAGAAGGTTTATTTGAACAAATTGTAGCTGAGAACTTCCAAATCTGGTGAAGGAAACAGGCATTCAAGTCCAAGAGGCACAGAGAACTCCCTTCAAAATCAACAAAAACAAGTCAACACCACAACATATTATAGTGAAACTTGAAAAATACAAGGATAAAGAAAACATTCTGAAAGCAGCTAGGAACAATGGTCCTTAACAAGTACAAAAGTAGACACATAAGGTTAGCAGCAGACTTGTCCACCAAAACATGGCAGGCCAGAAGGGAGTTGAAGGAAATATTCAATATGATGAATAAGAAAAAATATGGAACCAAGAATCATTTATCCAGCAAGGTTGTCATTCAGAATAGAATGAGAGATAAAGCCTTTTCCAGACAAACAAAAACTATGGGAGTTCATGATCACTAAAGCAACCCTTCAAGAAATTTTATGAAGGACTCTCTGAGTGGAGGAAAACAAAACAAAACAAAAAGAGACCAAAGCAGCAAAGACTACAAAGGACCAGAGAATATCACCAGAAACCTGATATCTACAGATAACACAATGGCACTAGATTCATATATTTCAATATTCACTCTGAATGTAAATAGACTAAATGGTCCAATCAAAAGGTATAGGGTATCAGAACAGATTAAAAATCAAGATACATCTATATACTTCCATGAAGATACTCATTTTAGTCCTGAGGACACCTGCAGAGTGAAAGTGAGAGGATGGAAAACCATCTATTGTGCTAATGGATGTCAAAGGAAAGCCACAAGTAGCCACATTTCTATCATACAAACTAGATTTTAAAGCAAAGACTGTAGCAAGAGATGAAGATGAGCATTATATCATAATTAAGTGGTCTATCAAAAATATCTAACAATTATAAATAATTATGCCCCCAACTTGAAACACCTGAATATGTATATCAATAACAAACATAAACAAACTCATTGCTAATAATACCATAATAATAGGAGACTTTAATACCGCACTTATAGCAAAGGACAGATCTTCTAAGGAGAAAAGAGGAAACATGGCTTTGAATGACATACTGTACCAGACGGACTTAACAAATATATTCTTTTTTTTAAAAATTTTAATGCTTACTTATTTTTGAGAGACAGAGACAGAGCATGAGCAGGGGAAGGGCAGAGAAAGAGAGAGACACAAAATCTGAAGCAGGCTCCAGGCCCTGGGCTGTCAGCACAAAGCCGGACTCAGGGCTCGAACCATAAGATCATGACTTGAGCCAAAGTCAGACGCTGAACCAACTGATCCACTCAGGTGCCCCAACAAATATATTCTTAACATTTCATCCTAAAGTATCAGAATACACATTCTTCTTGAGTGCACATGGAACATTCTCGAGAATAGATCACATAATGTGTCACAAATCAGCCCTCAACAGGTATAAAAGATCAGGATCACAGCATATATATTTTTTTCGGATAACAATGTTATGAAAATTGAGGTCAAACACAAGAAAAAAAATTGGAAAGCCCTCAAATACATGTATCCTGCTAAAGGATGCATGGGTGAGCCAGGAAATTCAAGATGAAATAAAAATGAAAATAAAAACATGACACTCCAAACTCTTTGGGATGCAGCAAAGGCAGTCATACAAGGAAAGTACACTACAATTCAGGCTTATCAGAAAAAGCAGGAAAGGTTCCAAATACATATCCTAACCTTACACCTAAAGGACCTAGAAAAGGAGCAGTAAATAAAGCAAAAAGGCAGTAGAAGAAGGGAGAAAATAAAGATTAAAGCAGAAATACATGATATACAAACAAACAAACCCCCCCAAACATGGTAGAACAGATCAATGAAAATAAAAGTTGATTTTTTGAAAGAATAAACAAAGCTGATAAACCTTAGACAGAATTCTCAAAAAGAAACAATAGAGGATACAAATAGGTCAAATCACATGTGAAACGGCAGATCACAACCAACACCAAGAAATACAAACAATTATAAGAGAATACTACGAAAAAATATATGCCAAAAACTAGACAATCTGGAATAAATGCACAAATTCCTAGACACTCACACACTACCAAAACTCAAACAGGAAGAAATATAAAATTTGAATAGGCCAATAAGCAGCAAAGAAATTGAATCTGTTATCAAAAATGTCCCAACAAAATAAGAGTCCTGGGACACATGGTTTCCTAGGGGAATTCTACCAGAAATATAAAGCAGAGTTAATACATGTTCTCAAACTGTCCCAAAAAATAGAAATGGAAGGAGAGCTTCCAAACTCATTCTATGAAGCTAGCATTACTTTGATTCCAAAACCAGACAAAGACCCCACTAAAAAGGAGAATTACAGGCCAATATCCATGATAAACCTGGATGCAAAAATTCTCAACAAGATATTAGGAAATCAAATTCAACAGTACATTAAAAGGATGTGGGATTTATTTCTGGGCCTTTATGGCTCACTCAATATTTCCAAATCAATCAATTTGATATACCGCATTAATAAAAAAAGGATAACAACCATATGATCCTTTCAATAGATGAAGAAAAAGCAATTGACAAAACTCAGCTTCCTTTCTTGATAAAAACCCTCAAGAAAGAAGGGATAGAAGGAACATACCTCAATATCATAAAAGCCATATACGCAAGGCCCATAGCTAATATCATCTCAAATGGGGAGAAATTGTC